CACAAACATTTATCGTTATAAATTTATAAAGTTAAAAGGTAATAAATTTTATTTCAATGTCTTTTTTGCCCTTTTTTTTCGACGCGGTCCGTTGTTATATTAAAAACAACCGGATCGCAAATGCAATCTGCGCAAGGCAAAATATCATCGCTCTACATAGAAAAGCAGTAGGAGTTAAAAGATGATTCCGAGTTAGTTGTCGATAAAAAACATAAATAATTTAAAAATGCAAAAGGCTCCCTTATAGCTTTGTAGTCAATATTGTAATAAAAGGGTCTGGAAAATATTTTGTCAGTCCTTTGAAAATCATTGAAATTATTGTTGTAAAAATTGGTAAATGATATGGTAAGCAAGCTGAAAAAATGACCGGTGACGTGTCTATCTGTTTTGACATTGCCCATCCACTCAAAGAGAGTGTACCGTACCAATAGTGTAATATTACGTAATACACGGATACATGTTGAAAAAGTCATCTAATGATTCTATAAAAAGATGACTTTTGTATGCGCTTTTGGATAAATGAATTAGTTAGTACTGCATATTTTAATGACACCGTTAACGAGTGTTTTAAAGAACGATATACCCCAGTGACACATTTCATCATACTTAAATGCAAGAGATGGTTAAATTCTAATGCTTGTATACAAAGGTTCTTTTGTCAGAATCGAATGCATCATTTAGGGTCTAACCATAAATAATTTCGTAAATGCAGAAAATTCAAGTGATTTATTTAGATTAACCAATGCATCGGTTATTTATTAACATAAACTATCTAAATTTATGGTTGATTATTTAAGTTAAATCAAATTGTTAATACAGTTGTTGAATCCTGATAAATACTATTCTTTCGTTCCTTTTTTGCCCTACGCAGAATACGCTTGCGCAAAATGTTGCTTCCGTTTCTATGGAAATATCGAAGTGTAAAATGGTCATAGTTTAATAATGTCTAAAAGTGAGTTAATATTTCATGACGGGACATCCTATCCTATAGCTGAGAAGCATTGTGAGAGTTTATTCGAAAAACGTCTTAAATTTGATTTATAGATACTTACAATACTTACTTGGTTTCATTGAGTGAATTTTCATTATTAATATTAAACTCTTGATGTTTTTTTAAATATCATGTTTGGTATTAAAACATCACAATATATTGAAATTCTATGCTGGAAGAGCTACGGTGCTTCCCTGTGTAACCCCGTAATTCCCGACAGAGCCAAGGATGAAGCCGACAAGCTACACCTGCCCGGATCACCCCGGACCACCCCGTTGATACAAAATTTTTATTCCATCCGGGGCCAAATGCCGGATGTTCCCGGATAATCCTGTTACGGATTTACTCCGGTTGTGCTGGTCGTAACCCCGTCGTTCCCGAATCACTCTGGACGTCTGTCGGGGCTATGCCGGAATGTAAATGAGACCGCTGCTTAAACATAAGTGCGACTGTCTAGCTTGTGATGGGGAACTGATACGGTGGCTTTATTTCAACAAGAGCAGATGCATTTACAAAATTAACAATTACCTTGTCAGGTAATAATATTTAGAATTAAATACATGTATAACATTTGCGACAAATGGTAGTGTTCAAGGCCATTGCCTACCTTAAAAGTAAGGGGCATCGGTCATTACCTCCTTAGAATACAAATGCCACTATCAAATTTACTATAGTGTTCTTTAATTGTTTACCATCCAATCCTATCCCTAGGACGAACAGAAATTTGATCACCAGCTGCAATATTCAATGTCGGGTTTTCACCGGCAGCTGAAATGTAAAAATTCTCAATTATGCATTGTCCAAGAAATAAGCCGTCTATCCCCAAAAAATAGCTGTGGGTTTTTTATATTTTTGTTTATTTTATAATATGTTTTTTTATTTATATGTGGATTTTAATTGCGCTTTTGGAACCTCCTTTCCTTATTCATACATAATTATATTTTAAGTTTCACGGCAATTTGATAAACTGATTCTAAGATATGATTCTGGACGGACGCACAGAATGATAAGGCCATTTCAGTTTTATCAGAGGGGTTTATCAAACAAAACAAAAGTGGTAGAAAAAGAAAGGTGGATTCAGGAATAACTACGACTTATAAACATTCAAATAATTTCAATTTTTCAATGTCACAACTTGTAATTAACGATGGTCCGATATTTCTGTTATTAGATATTCAGAATATTAAGCTGTTCTCTTTTATATTCCAATAAGGGCCAATACTGTGCGGGCCATTATTTGCTTCAAAACCTATCCTGATCCGCGATGCTTTAAACATAGGATTTAACTCAATACAAGATTGGAGCAGTACCTCTAAACGCTTGCAGAAATCATGATCACATAATAGACAAATATGTTTTTTTTCTCCGATTATAACATTTTTCTTTCCTTATCGTATATAAATCGGTGTGAAAAGATGAATTAGACGTTTTAAATTTCATTCCGTAAGATGAAAAGGTGAGATTTTAGCATTTAATCATTCAAATGTCTTGTCCGGTATGTACCGGAATACGGTATTTAGCTTGGTGCTCCAATACTTTTTCAGTCTCGCTCTTAAACATACACGTATTGATTAAGACAGAACGTCAACATGACGTTAAAACGGCGTCAAAATAAAAGATCACAGTAAAAAATGTAAGTACCGAAAAATTGTGTACACATGAAACTAGTGGGGCAAATTTGATACGATATATGTTTATATGTCTTTATAAAATATCAGTCTATTAAATCTCAAAATGTGACAGTTTTGTCCGAAGGCCCAAAACCGCATCACTTATTATAAGAAAGAACAATTGGGAAACAGAGAATTTAAGTCTTTTGGTATACTAATACTTTTACATAAAAGCATTTGTCCTTGTTTTTGTTTGCAAAATAAACCTGTGCAGTAACAGTTCGTCCTGACAAAAATTAATGATGCAGACGATCAGAAACAACAAACACGTTTTCACTCACCAACAGCTATTACGTTTTCTCCAACCAGTACATAATCATTTCCTGTGGTTGGCCGCCATACTTGTAAATAGACAGTCCCAGCTTGAGAGGCGACTAAATCCCAATTTGTTATTGTGCCGCAACAGTCCACATTGTAGTCGACGTCATCTCCACGCAAAATATACCCAACATCTTGATTTCAATAGAAATAAACTAAGTTTTTAATTTAACACATTAATTAAGTTGCAATTAAAATAAAATCACTCATTCTCGCTCGCTCGCTCGCTCGCGAGCGAGCGAGTCGCTCGCTCACTCACTCACTCACTCACTCACTCACTCACTCACTCACTCACTCACTCACTCACTCACTCACTCACTCACTCACTCACTCACTCACTCACTCACTCACTCACTCACTCACTCACTCACTCACTCACTCACTCACTCACTCACTGCGCCGCGATTAACAAAATGAATAAAACTTTTCATCATAATCTTTAAGAATATGTCCTAAAAATGGGACAATATTGGATGTAAGTGTTCCAACAAATGATTAATCAAGCTGTCAAGATAACCTAAACCTTATATATATCCTTTCTTTTACTTTGAACATTCTTTAGTCATTACTCAATGGTGTTTTTTTTTCTCTTTCTATTCTGTCTGACAAATTAAAACGTGTATAGATATGATAGTAATCAAACTAACAAAGCAGTACCTGAAAGATTATCAGAAGAACCCGATTTGCCCTTAGGACTTTGCTCACCAATTTCTCTATTTGAACCTGAAACGAAAAGATGAAAATTAAATACTGTAAAAGAAAATATGCAAGCTTTAACAAAACTGAATAGACATCAACAACACCAAGTGTTTCGATGACTTCAAACATGGCAGCTATACTATACATGTTATTAAAATTGGATATTGAAATAATCTTACGTGAAATTGACATGGCTATAATACAACTGAGGTCTAATGCTTGTAGAGGTAGAGTTGTAACTAAACACAGTGACGCCAAATAGAGTATGACCCAACGGTCAATATTCTTAAAATATTATGGACTCCTCGATGCTGGATTGATATGTTATCTTCCCAGTTCCCACACATAAAAGAATGACCCCCACGAGACCTTCCCGCTTGAATAACTGAATATAATACAAAAATATCAATACAATAATAATCATAATTAATAATAATAATAATGATAATATCAATAAAAAATAAATATATATTATGATTATAATGATGAGAATAAATAGAAAACATTTATAATATACTCAATAGATTCTCACTTGTCTATTAGACAATATAGCACCTGTGAAACAGACCAGAATTAAACACATAACAGAACCATGGATTGACTCAGACATTCTTAGTGTAATTAATGAAAGGGATAAAGCTTTTAATAAATATAAATGTGATAGAAACTGTGATAATTATGATTCATTTAAGACTCTCAAGAACAAAGTTCAGTATCTTGTTGCCAAAGCAAAAAAGGAATATTTTACTAATTCACTGGATGAGAACAAAAATGACTCAACCTCTTTATGGAAAACTGTTAAAAATCTTGGTTTGCTTTCCAAGAAGGGTTCATCTTCAACCAGTTCAAATATTTGTTTAAATATTGATGATAATGTGTGTTTTGAAAAGAAACTTATTGCTGAATCATTTAACAAATTTTATACAACAGTTGCACGTAAACTTGTTGAAAAGTTGCCAGAAAGTATGCATAAATTTGGTACGAAATTGTTAATACTTTTTATGCAAACAAGGGCGTTTTTGCAAACAGTTTTTCTTTTTCCATTGTTTCTGAAAGTAAAGTTCTTAAATACTTAACTTCATTAGGTGTCAAAAAAAGCTACTGGCTTAGATGGTATACCCTCACGTTTTATCAGAGATGGATCCCAGTTATTGCTAGTCCATTAGCTCATATCATAAAATCATAAACTTATCCCCTATCCAAGTTCAAGTCCTGATGATTTTAAATCTGCAAGAGTTGTTCCCCCTCTATAAAAAGAACGACAATTGTCTGTTGGTAATTACCGGCCTGGTCCATTTTAAATGTTGTATCTAAAATCCTTGAAAAGGTGGTTTTATGACCAGGTTGAAACTTTTTTAAGGATAAAGATCTGCTGTATAAATTTCAATCAGGTTTCAGGAGTGGCTTTTCTCTACTGATACTTGTCTGATTCACCTTACAGACTTTATCAGGTATGAAAATGATAAAGGTATGTTGTTGGTATGGTGCTGCTGGATTTGCAGAAAGAGTTTGACACAGTCGACCATTCCATTTTTTTAATGAAACTGCAAGCATCAGGTCTTAGTATTGACGTCCTAAATTGGTTCAAATCATATTTATCAGATAGACAGCAGCTTGTAGATGTCTCTTGTACTTATTCTTCCAATTCCAAAATAACATGGGGTGTTCCTCAGGGCTCAATCCTTGGACCCCTTCTCTTTTTAATTTATGTAAATGATATGTCAGCTGTGGTCAAAAATAAATTGCTTTTGTATGCTGATGATTCTGGTATCCTTGTATCTGGTAAAAGTTTATCTGTTGTTGAAAAGGCATTGACAGATGATATGGAATTGGCCAGCCAATGGTTAGTGGACAATAAGTTGTCATTGCATTTGGGTAAAAACCGAGTCAATTTTATTTGGGTCCAGGCAAAAACTTAAGACACAATCTAACCTGCATATAACCTGTTCTGGTACATCCATTGAAATCAACTTCATCTATCAAGTATCTTGGGATTACTATAGACCAAAATCTGTCATTTTGCGCCATGGCCGAGTCTGTTCTTAAGAAGGCCAACTCTCGGTTAAAATTCTTTACCGCAAGAAAAAGTTTCTTACTCAGCATACCAAGAAACTTCTGGTTATGTCTCTTATTCAGTGTCACTATGATTACGCATGCTCTGTTTGGTATAATAGCTTGACACAGTCTTTAAAAATAAGTTACAAAACTTGACAAAAACAAAATAATGAGATTTGTACTTGACTTGGACTCTAGAGCCCACATTGACCCATCCCACTTTAAGTCCCTTAACTGGTTACCCGGTCCACAAAAGAGTTGAACAGATAATGTTGTGTCATGTTTTTAAGATAAAAAAATGGCCCTATCTCCGGATTACATGTCTGAACACTTTATTTCACAAGATTCCATTCATAATTATAGTACAAGACTTAGTCAAAAGGGTGGATATTGTCTACCTAAGGTCAAAGGCCAGGGTTCTAAATCATTTGCTTTCTCTGGTATTAAATTATGGAATGATTTACCTGTAAAGTTAACGGAGATCAACAGGTTACAAAGTTTTAAGGTTCCCATCAAAAGTCATCTTATGAACAGTATTTAAATTTATTTAAAACATGTTTTTACATATTTCGGCTCAGGATTTTAAATTGTCTGCCATTTATCTTATTACAATTTTAGTAATGTGTTTTAAATCCTAGCTGTAAACAGGAGTATCATTAACTGTGACTTGGTAGCTCGGTAGATACTCGCATAATATTATGTTTTGAACTCGTTCAATTAATTTTAATTTTAGTATCGGGAAAATCTTCAGTTAAATGTCCTTTTTACAAGGGAAATAAAGTGAGATCATCTCTTAAAAATCTAATACACTTTATGAATAATTAAAAATCATAGACTTCAAAACAAATCAATGGTGTTGTAACAACATAATATTGTTAAGTCACTATTGACAGAGAAATCTTGCGTTTAAAATTTCAAAATGAAATCCACAATTAAGGCCAGAATGTAGACGAAAGCAATGTAATATATCCTTTAGAGAATATAAATGCTATATAGTTTGAAAATGTTTAAAAAGAATTTCAGATGGTAAAGATATGTTGATGGTTGATCTCCGGAAGAATTATAACATGAATTTTAAGCCGTTTAGAAATGATGTACTTCTTGCGCAATTCGTTCTTATTGACAATTACAAAAGTGTTTTTATTTCAAACGGGTATATTGGAATTACTCTTTTTCAAAATTCATATAATGATTTGGTACGTTACATACAACATATACGGGTTATACAATAAAAAACAAGTGTAGCTTTTTAGCCAATTTCATTAAAGTATACAATGTTATTTCTGCTGTCTGTGGTTTAAACAATCATTAATTGAAAACTTAAAAAAGAATAATTCGAAATTATAGCATGGAAGAATTATGTTTGTATATTGTTAACGCATGCACGAAACCATTTCCACTACTTAAATAAATAGCACTTTTATTTTTGTTCCGGAACATTTTATTCTGTTTACGTACATTATTCATTTTATTTAATTTGTATAATCTAATGAATAATCAACCCTGTTGATAGTATCTGGTATAGTACACTCACACCAACTATAAAAGAACTGTATATGGATATTGTTGGCAAGTATGAGATACATGATTTGAAATTACATATACTTATATAGCAGATAATGAATAGTTCTGGAACGAAATATTATTATATTTGATAAAAAATGTTCATAGGTCAGTAAGAACTTTATCAACACATTACTTTAAACCACTATTTTATAAGAGTATCCATGTAATATATTTCTGTAGTTTTGATCAATATTTTAAATACTTATAGAAAATGTGTCCATTGTAGACCAATATATTTCAATTTAAATAACATATCTAAAGACATTCTATCTTACATGTATTTCCGAGAATCGAACAAAACATAATTGAAACAACATAACTTTACCGTTTATGAATTTAAAAATATATTTATCGGATATAAATTTATAATACATTTTATTACATACTTATAAATAAAATATTGAGAAATATTGGTGAAATAAATGCGAGTTTTCATTTTATGTATTTCACTGTATAAATTTACTTTTCACTGCAGTAAAACATATTTTCCGTATTTTCATTGGTGTCTTGTCGGACTACTTTCTTCTAAATTCAGCCAATACCAGAAATTAAAGTGGAATTATTTCAAATTTGTAATATTTTAAAAGATCAAAATGTATATAATAAACAGAAAATTCAAGTTTTTTTCTATATATTCAGGATTCATTTTCATCTTGTGATATGAAAATTATTACATGTCATACTACTCGATGAAAATAAATCCTGTATCTATAGAAAAAACTTAAATATCCTTCATTTTTCATATTTTAACTGTCGCCTCACTTTCACTAAAAATCGTAGAGTAACGGTGCGAAAACGATAATCTTGATTTATTTTTCTTTTTATCTTTTTTTTTTTTAAATCGAGATTGTTCTTTTTAGGATTAATGTTACTAATACCGTAAAAAAGATTTGTACTTACACTGTGCATTTATTGTTTCAAAATAATCCGTTAAAAATATGACAATAAATATGAATTTCATATTAAAAAGTATTAAACGTCTTTACTTTGTCTGTCTGATTTATGAATAAAAAGTATAAGAAAGACTCATCACTTTTCCCATTATTAAACATCAAATACACTTATCTTATTTCAATTCCAATTGGAAAAATATATAATAATATATGTTAATAAAATTTCTTTTCAACCCTCGTTTATTGTGCGTCATAATTGCTTTAGAAATATCTCCAATATACAAAGGTGGTGTTTGAACCAATTTCTTCTCTCCTCTTTCACGCTATAGAATGTAAAAGAAAGAAGGGGTTTATCAATTTACCCGTGAAT